GTGGCATTTCACTGAGTTTTCTCACTGACTCTGATTTATTATCTTTCCAAAGATTTTATTTTATATTTACTTGTGTGTGTGTGTGTGTGTGTGTGTGTGTGTGTGTGTGTGTAGATTATGTGCATGTGTGTGCGGGTGACCTCAGAAGCCACAGGCGTTGGAGCTGTAGTTAGAGGTGGTTGAGTGCTGCGTGGCATGGGTGCTAGGATCTGAACCCTCTGTAAGAGCCGTATATGCTTAACCACTAAGCCAGCTCTCCAGCCCTCTAATTCGCTGAGAGCTGCGGGTCTCTACACACTGAGTGCTGGGATTAAAGGCGTGTGCCACCCTGCCTGGCAACCTTGCCTTCTTACAATGAACATTTATTGAGCATCTAAGTGCTGTTGGCTGGAGACCTTCGTGCCTGCAAGGTACTGTCCAGGCCCCTGAGGACACGAGGGACCGTGTGTTTTTGGCGTGTTAAGGCGCGAGGCTTAGCATGCGTGCCTCTTGCAAAGCCCCAGTATAGACAGTACTGCAGATGTACAGGTGGGTCTGGTGCTCTCTGCCCCACCTCCCCTAGCCTTTGCCTGGAGCCTAATGTGCTGAGCACGGTGACTTGGCATATTCCTGGGGCAGGGCTCGAGGTCTGAGGAGGCGGAGCTGCGCTGTAAATATAAGGCCCGAGTCACCTCCTCTCATGCTGCTGAAGTTGCACCGCACTGCATCGCCCAAAAGTAAGTAGGAGCTGGGCGGTGAGGACGGGGCCTGGGCAGAGTTGACACCCCACCCCCACCCCCGCCATGAGGTCTTTCTTCATCGTGCTTTCTGTGTGTTTATCTCTTCTAGTGCCGCCTTACACCATCGTCTACTTCCCCTCTCGAGGTGTGGCCTCAGCGCTTTCAAGATGAAGGGCACAAATTGTAGTCCTCAGGATCGCTCCTGTGGCTCCTGTGGAGCCGGAGGGGCGTGGCAAAGGCCGTGCTGGGGTGGGACCGAGACCTGGGGCGGGACTACAGTTGTGATTGGTGGGAACAGAACTGCCCTCTCGGGCACCTTAGGTGGAGGGACTTTGTTACTCTTCCTTTCCTGGGCCATTGTGGAGCTGTGTCCCGCTCTCCTAGGTATTGGTAGGGCGTGGCCTCTACTCCGTGTCTCCCCTCCCAACGTTTTAGTTTGGTCCTTTTGTAAGCTTTCCATTCTTCCAAACTCTCCCAGGTCTCTGTTCAGTTCCCCAATCTCTGTCCCGTACCCTAATACAGGGCGCTGCGAGGTTATGCGCATGCTGCTAGCCGACCAGGGCCAGAGCTGGAAGGAGGAGGTGGTGACCTTGGATGCCTGGGAGCAGGGTACACTCAAGGCTTCTTGTGTGAGTGACTACACTAAAGTGGGGATGGCACTGGGGCGCAGCCTTAGGGTCCTGTGACTAGGGTTGGGGGCAGCCCATTGAGCACCCCTTACAGAGCTGTCTTCTCCCAGCTGTTTGGGCAGCTCCCCAAGTTCCAGGATGGAGACATCACCCTGTACCAATCTAATGCCATCCTGCGGCACCTGGGCCGCTCCTTCGGTGAGTCCTGAAGTACAGCCCTGAAAGACACCTGACAGATGTCCTGCAAAATGTCCTACAGCAACCAATCTCTCACCTGGATAGAGGGCAAGCAGGTTACCCTAGAGGCAGGCTGCAGGCTCAGGTTCCAAGAGGCTCCCAGGTGTGGTGCTGGTCTGTCTGTGCACAGTGGGGGCTGTGAATTTCCAGTAAACTTGCATTATTTGTTCTAAATGACATCTCATAAGGGGCCACCAGTTTCTATGTGTGACAATGGAACAGGACTAGAGACTTCCCAGTAGACCTCACTGCCCATTTCTTCCTAACCTGGCCATACCCCAGTCAGGGAAACCCATAGTCACAGTGACGAGGCCTCAGCCTGTTTGGATGATGTCAGGAAGGTGGCAGAGGCAACTATTCTCTGTGGGCCTGGTTGGGAAAGGGGTGCCCGGAGTTCCATAAAGACATAATAACCTGAGGATGGATGGGTAGTGGGAGCAGTTCAGGCCAACTCCTCTTTTACAGGACCTAGAGAGCAGACCACGGCCTTGGGCTGGGGCCTGTCATCTTCTCATCTGCCTTGTGCATCTCACAATGTATGTGGATAGCAGCCTTCACACCCCGGTCTGTCTAGGTCCCTAGACAGCTTGTTCCAAGGGAGGGACAAAACAGAGTTTTTGACTTCCTTTGGTGTGGCAGATCCAGTGACAGGTGTGGCCCAGAAAGCAGGCCCAGGCTTCAGTTGGCTGTGGCCCTGGGGGATGGTAGACTCTTCCCTTGTGAAGGTGGCATGGCTGAGGTAGGCAGGACAGGGAAGATCTTCAATGCAAAGTAGACCCAGGCTTTGGTGTGAGCGGGTATTTAGGGACTAGCACAGAACACGAGTATGCTGCCTGCTTCCTGACCCAGGGCTCTACGGCAAAGACCAGAAAGAGGCAGCGCTGGTGGACATGGTGAACGACGGGCTGGAAGACCTCATCAGGCACCTTGGCCAGCAGCTTCTCCGAAACTATGTATGTAGGGACTGCAGGCTTGTGCAAAGCAGGGTGGTCAGGAAACGGAACTCACTTTTGTCAGTCTGGCTGCACATTCTCACCTGGGGTCATTTCTGTCCACAGGAGGAGGGCAAGGTCCAGTATCTGAAGGAACTTCCAAGACACCTGAAGCCATTTGAAACTCTGCTGGCCCAGAACAAGGGTGGCCAGTCCTTCATTGTGGGTGACCAGGTGAGCACTGGGTCAGGCCCTTCCCACTCTACTCAGATCCTTTCTCAGATCTGAGGCCAAGTTCCCTGATGCAGAAATGGAGGCAGGAAGCATCCAGTGTTTGGCTCCATGGAGTTTCTCTCCTGCCCATAGATCTCCTTTGCGGACTACCGACTGCTAGACTTGCTTCTGAACCACGAGCGTCTGTTCCCTGGCTACTTGAATGACTTTCCCATGCTCTCAGCCTATGTGACACGCCTCAGAGCCCGACCCAAGCTCAAAGCCTTCCTGGATTCCCCTGAGCATGTGAACCGCCCCATTTCTGCTCGCCTAAAGATATGAGCCCACCTGCTTCGCCCAATCCCTCCCCCTCATGGATCAATAAAAACGAGGGCAGGAGCCGGGCTGGGCTGTGGTGGCATACGACAAACACCCCCTTAATCCCAACACTCAGGAGGCAGAGGCAGGCAGATCTCTGAATTCGGTGTTCTACAGAGGGAATTACAGGACATTCAGGGCTACACAGAGAAATTCTGTCTCGAAAAATTTAAAAAAAAGAAAGAAAGAAGGGGGGCTGGAGAGATGGCTTAGCGATTAAGATCACTGACTGTTCTTCCAGAGGTCCTGAGTTCAATTCCCAGCAACCACATCGTGGCTCTCAACCACCCTGAATGAGATCTGGTGCCCTCTGCTGGCATGCAGGCACAAGACTGTATACAAAATAAATAAAATCTTAAAAAAAAAAAAAAAGAAAAGAAAAAAAGAAAAGAAAAAAGGAAGGGAGGGAGGAATACAATAGGGGTAGGGGGTGAGGGCCTCTGCAGGGTTGATACTAATTCACTCTTGCAATAATATCAGGCCCAGAGCTGCCAGGGAAGAAGGCCTTTGGGGCTCTAAATGCCCAGGTCCCACTAGAGGGCTCCCTATTGGGGGGTGTCTGTCCTTCAATTCAATCTCAGAGCTCCTTCATCCAAGTAAAAGAAAACATAGCCCTAAGGGTATCAGCTAGTTGCTGCCCCATTTGGTGAACTTGTTCTGGGCAGACACCCTCAGGAGTGACACCGATACCTGGGTGTGTCACATGTGCACTCTGAGGACAGTTGGATTCTTCTGTCCCAATATACAGGCAATGAGCAGGTCTCCAAGGGTCCCAAGGCAGGATGAGGGCTCCCAGCTGATTTGAAAGTGGGAACATTTGGAAACTGGAGGCTGGATCTGTGCTCTAGCTGGGGAGGTGGAACAGACTTTTGAACACAAGTGAAAAGCACTGGCCAGTTGCTGCTTGGGATGGAGCAGAAAGGGTAGATCCAAGGGGACTGGCCTCATTCTACCAAAAGGTTTGCCCTTTTATAGCCCTTCCAGGATTGAGAGGGCTCAGGGCTCAGGGCTCAGCCTGATGATCAGGTCTCCAACCTGACATCAGGGAGTAGGTTTAACCGAGGGGTCAGGGCTCACCATGAAGAGCAGGTCTTAGGACTGGAATCAGGATCCAGCTCAGGGATCAGGGCTTAGTCCAGGGATTAGAGTTCAGACCTGGGATCGGGGCTTAGCTCAGGCAGGGATGAGGGTTCAGTCCTGGGATCAGAGCTTAGCCCTGAGTGGCACTTCTCAGCTACATTATAAAGTCAGGAAATCTATGGGAATTTTCCACCATCTCTCCCAGTGTTGCTTCTACAGCAACTGTTATTTGCCTCTAGTTTGTCCTGAAGACTCTCCATACCCCGAGAGGACTCTGACTACATACACATCAGGACTACAAACACATCAGGCTGCTCTTACCTGTGTGTGGGCCCTTGGAAATGTAGCTGACCCTCTCTGGGAATGTTCTTTCTCACACTGAGGCCAAAGTTAGAATTTGCACCCAGGCAGGTGGATACTAAGCCTGCATTCTTCTCCAAACAGCCCCAGAAACTACTTTTGCATGTTCTCTGGACAAGTGCAGTGGCTATTTAAAACATGCCTGGTAGTTACATATCAAATATTCAGGCTGAAGTCAAGTGATAGAAATTTCAGGTCATGTCCAAACTCTGTCAGCCTGGGTGTTTGCCTCTGGGCTAGGAAGGCTACACACCAATCAGTTCTCTAAACCTGAGGGATGAAGTCAGGGTGAGCTCCAGCCACAAGTCTCTTCTCACACTACCCGTGGACATTCCAATCCCCCTGTCTAGCGCAGCTCACCCCCACCCCTGAACTCTGAACACTCCCCTGTCAGCTTTGGACAGAGGCTGCTTCAAATGCCTGCGTGGTTATTTTCTGCCACAAGACAGAGATGTGGTCCTGGACCCATGGGCACAAGCTTTATTGTTTCCATTTAGTTTATTTTCTGTCCTGACCCTGTTTCTTGTAAGAGCAGGAGAAAATGACAGGAAGACTTTTGCCTCTGGGACTGCTTTGACCTTAAAAGTATGGCGACCACCTGAGGTAGTAGCCTCTCCAAGGTTCAGGTGCAGGAGGTTGGGGCCTTCCCACAGATCTGCCTCTGCTGTTTTTGTGGAAAGTTACCATTTTGCAAGTTAGAAGCAGTTGCTTTTTCCTGCTGTTCCAAAAATAGGGCGACCACGACCTTCGGCTCATAAACTCAGCCAAGGCAACAGTTGCATACACATTTGGGATGGCTGCCCAGTTCCGAGCTGGCAAGCGCCCGGGCACCTCTTCCTTCCTGCTCCAGTATCTTCTCCAGTGACAGACCTTGCTCTCTAGATGCAAGATTAACATGTGAACTGAGACTGGCCAATCACAGAGCCCCAGCTCTGACTGTAGGCATGGGTGCAGAGGTTAGCTCCCAAGGAACAGAATGGGGCCAATCTGAGTCATCTCTGACAGACTACCCCACTTTGCTGACATAGTTGGTCAAAAGACAGGAGCACCATCACCGTGTCCCTTATTTCACCCTCCTCTGCAGCAGAGCCTCTTCTGAGAGAGGCAGCCTCCTCTGAGGTGGCTGGGGTTTGATTCTGGTCACTTAAATATACATCTCTCTTCTCTCCTCCTCTTCTTCTTCCTCTGGCACTGCCTCTCCTCTCTTCACCATCAGAGCAGGATGGGAAAGACTTTAGGTTCTTGGTTCCAGGCTTGAGACTCCAACTTCACTGCATCCTTCTCCTGGTTGGTTGTGTGAGCTACAAACACTTCCCTTTGAAAGTACAACCTTTGCCTGGTGGTGTTGTTGCACACCTTTAATCCCAGCACTCAGGAAGCAGAATCAGGCAGATCTTTGTGAGTTGAAGGCCATCCTGGTCTACAGAGTGAGTTCCAGGACAGCTAGGGCTACACAGAGAAACCCAGAACCCATATAAAAACTGAGTATGGCAGCCATTTGCTTGAAGTCCCAGCAATCGTGGGTCCCTGGAGTTCACTGGCCTATTTAAAAAAGAAGAAGAATGTAAACCCATCATAGCTGAAGAAAGTGTGTTTGTGTGTGTGTGTGTGTGTGTATGTGTGTGTGTGTGTGTGTGTGTGTGTATGTGTGTGTGTGTGTGTGTGTGTGTGTATGTGTGTGTGTGTGTGTGTGTGTGCGTGCGCGCGCGCGCGCGTGTGTGTGTGTGTGTGTGTGTGTGTGTGTGTGTGTGTGTGTGTGTGTAGTGCTGGGGATGGAACCCAGGGTCTTACAATGCTCAGAAAGTACTGTGCTACTGAGTCAAGATTGTGGATCTTGTATTGTGACTTCACAAAATCAGAGACACCCCAGGAGCTGACCCAGGAGCAGACAGACAAAATGTCACTGGAAAGACCTGCTTGTGGCATGGTGTCCCCCACCTGCTTCCACTTGATCTCGTAAACAATGAGTGGACAATGAACAGCCACAAGAGGGAGAAAGTATTCCTTCTTAATGACACTGGCACTCTTTTCACTTTCTGCATAGTGATCACTAGAAGTCATTGTCAATTGCAAGTCAGAATTTCCACACCATACCATGGGGTCAGGCTGTGTGTTGAAAAGTGTTGATACAGGATCTACCTATATAGCCCAGGCTGGCCTTGAACTCCTCATAGATGGTGGGAAAACGTGGAATCCTTTACCTCTGGCACTGTAAGCCCTAGAACTTGCCTCCTCAGAAGGGGATGTTCAGAAGACACCTCTGTAGTGAGAAATCCATATGTGTCTGTTTAAGGGGTATCAAGGATTTACTAAGATATGAAAAAGGGGAAAATACAGTCACAAATACAGGATATGGTAAATCCAGTTGCAGAGTCATTGGAAAGCTGGGATTGATGACTTCATGCTGCCTGACCTGGTCTTCACCACCCAAGAGAGTGTGAGTCCCTTCCCCTTTCCTTTTAAGAGGTCAGGCAGATAAGAAGCTCTGCCTCTATCAGGCCAGGTAGCTCAACGTCATGGGTGGAGTGAATATCCACTACACTTTCCCTTTTGGTCTAAATAAGAAGGTTATAAACCTAATACAAAACTATATACAATTAGAACAATTATCAAGTATAGTCCAGGAGAAAGAAAGGGCAATAACATAAACAAAAATGTAACTACCACCAACAAGAACAACATCAAGTAAGAAACACACACTAGATGTACAGATCATAGGTAAACGGCAAATTGTAGACATTACTCCAATAGCTGTCCTACCCTGAAGACTGAATCTAGTACCTGATATGCTCTTAGTTAAGATATGAGAGAATAGTAACTGTGACTATCTAGTCTTCAGTCCCATCAAGACCTGCCTGAGATGGAAAATAATATTACCTGAGGAAGCAGGAAGTGCAAGCAAGCGACTTCCAAAAGATGCAAGAAATGGCAGAAATAGCTGGCTACCAGCTAGACTAGTTAATACAGTTTTCCTTGTTATCAAATTCAGAAAAGAAACTTACATAAAGAGATGTAAAGTGCATAGGTTGAGAGATATAAAAACTTCAACACGAGTGGATACTGAGTCCCAGTATGTAGCAAGCTTTTTCTTTTGGGCCATCAACCAGCTCCCAAATCATGACAGGGAGACTTCTTATTCTTGATGAATACTTGGGCTTATCTTTTGCTTGTCCCACTAACTCTTATAACTTAACCTATTTCTTTTCATCTACATTTTGCCTAAGGGCCTTTTACATTTCTTTCTTTCTATATATCTTACTTTCCTGCTGAGTCCATGTCTAGCTGGAGGCTGCCTGGCTTCTGGCTCTGGGCGTGTCCCTCTCTTTCTTTCCCATTCTCTCTCTAGCCTAGATTTCTCCTACTTATTCTCTCTGCTGCCAGCCCTGCCTATCCCTCTCCTGCCTTGCTATTGGCTGTTCAGCTTTTTATTAGCCCAGTCAGGTGCCTTAGGCAGGCAAGGGGAAACAAATGCAACACATCTTTATGAAATTAAACAAATGCAGCAGAAACAAAAGTAACACACCTTTACATTGTTTACAAAGGCAGCAGAAACAAATGCAACACACCTTCACATAGTTAAAGTAACATGCTGAAGCAGAAACAACACACCTTCGCCTGGTTAGAATATTATTCCACACCACAGGGCATACACCTGTCATCCCAGTGCTGGGAAGGCAGGGCCTGGAGGATCCTTGGAGCTTGGGGGTCACCTAGGCATTGAATCAGTAAGCTCCAGGTTCATGGAGAGTTCTGCCTAAAAAAAAAAAAAAAAAAAGGTGGAAAACAACAGAGGAGGTACCCTGCATTAACTCGCTGCCTCCACACACAAGCCTGTGCACACGCATTGATGTGTATATGTGCATATAACACACACACACACACACACACACACACACACACACACACACACACACAAGAATTAGAAAAGTTTAGCAGGGGCTTTCTCAGCCTCTGAAGAGAAAACTTTTTGTAGGCTTCTTTGATTTTGATTTGTAAGGTTTTACTTCTTAAAAATAAAAGGGCTTCCAAGCCCAGCACAGTGACACTTGCTTGTAATATTAGCAGTAGACAGGTTGATTCAGGAGGATTATGAGTTTGAGGCCAGCTTGGGCTATATAAAGAGTTCAAGGACAACTTAGATTAAACAAGACCTCCAAAAAAAAAAAAAGAACAAAAGAAAGAAAGAAACAAAGAAGCAAAGAAGAAAAGTGCACACACACACACACACACACACAAAACCAAAAAACAAAATATTACAGAAAGAGCCAGGTGGTAGTGGCACACAACTTTAATCCCAGCACTCAGGAGGCAGAAAAGTGGATCTCTGTGAGTTCAAGACCAGCCTGGTCTACAGAGTGAGTTCCAGGACAGCCAGGGCCACAAAGAGAAAAACCATAATAATAATAATAGTAACAAATAAAGTATGAGGGTGAATCCTAGCTAAGCCATGCATTAGGAAAATGCCATAATGACAAATACTCTGATTTTTAAGGAGCCGATATGACACAGTAGGGAATGGTTCTGATGAGCATTTGTCTTTGGCATTTGAAGACGATGTATTGTATGCCAGGCACTGTGTTGAGTATTTTAGGTATGTTGTCTCATGTAGGCATGTAGTTCAAGATCACAGGCCATAGGCAAGCCCAGTGCCCGCTTTCTTACCTATATTCCCCCACTTTTAGCCTTCCTTCTCTTCCCCTTTCTCCCTTTCCCTCTGTCTCCCTCCCCCCTCCCCTTTTCTCCTTTTATTTTTTTAAAAAATGTGAGACTATCAGTGGAGCCCAGGGCCTCATGCATACTAGGTAAATACTCTCCTACAGGCTGATATATCAGTGCCAAGACAGAAAGTGGGTGTCTTCTACCTTTCTACCCTGTGGTCAAAAAGGAATGGTCCATCCCAGCACTCGGGAGGCAGAGGCAGGCGGATCTCTGTGATTTCGAGGCCAGCCTGGTCTACAGAGTGAGTGCCAGAATAGGCTCCAAAGCTACACAGAGAAACCCTGTCTTGAAAAAAAAAAAGAAAAAAAAATTAGAATAAAAAAAGGAGTGGTACAGCAGGCAGTAGAGGGGTGTTTGGCACCAGATCTGAGGGATTTCACTTCTCACTACCAGATGGCCAACACCAGCTGTAGGCTCAGTTTAACTCCATTCCAACACTCAGCTGCCCCAAGCCAGGGAAGACTTAGTCTCATCCACCACCCACACTTCAGACCCCATCTACCAGTCATAAGCCTTGAGCCTCCTGTCTTTTTATTTATTTATTGACAGAGTCTCATTATGTGGCCCTGACTGACTTAGAAGTCACTATGTAGATCAGGCTAGCCTCAAACTAAAAGAGACCCACCTGCCTCTGTTCTCTCCAGTAGTGGGATTAAAAAGCAAGCTTAGACCTCCTGTACCCTGACAAATTTACTACAAAACTGGAGGCAGGGGACCAGCAAACTCCTCGGCAGGTTCATTAATTTGCTGAAATGACTCGAGAAACTCGGGCAAAATTTCACTCACATTATGTAGTTGCCTAAAAAGACATGACTCGGAAAAAGCCGGATGAAGCACTCACTGCAAAGGACAAGCTGTGGGAGGGACAGAGTGACATGGAATGCTCACGCCCTCTCCTGGGCAGAATGCAGGAAAGCACTTTGGGGACCTAGACTTTATTTGTCACTTGCAGTTGTGACCATGAGAGCCTGCGCGATGCAAAACTCAAAAATAGAAACATGTTGGTAAAATATTAACATTCTTTAAAAAAAAAAAATCAGGAAAGCAGGTGAAACGAAACAGCCCTGTCTTAGCCTCTGTACGCCAGCGCCCCTGGTGGCAAACACTTTAACTCTTAGATCTGGGTTTCCAGTGGTTTACTCTTCGTTTTTGTTTGTTGAAAAGTGATTTACTCTTTATTACTGTTGTTTTCTAACCTGTCAGCTTGGATCAGTCTCTACTGATTTGCTTCATAAATGAGAAGTGTCTTCACCCCTTTTGCCACTCTCCCCTAGGGAGTACACACTATTGTCTGTTCCTCTATTTTGGAAATAAGATTATAGTAACCACATTGCCCTCTTTATATAGAGTCTTGCTTCCTCAACTGGAAAACAACAACAACAAAGCACCTCCAGGACAGCCAGGGCCACAAAGAGAAACCCTGTCTCAAACAACAATAATAACAAGAAACCCTCTTTTCAGCTTCCATTCCCTAACTTTTGTTATTGATGTCTTTACAAAGTCAAGGTTGATGATGGTGGTCGTCTAGTCTATCACTACAATTCGGATTCTATGCTATGGTGAATCTCACACAGTGCCAGTCACGGAGGAGACACCAGTCCTTGTTTGTCCCCTTTTCCCCCCCCCCGCGCCCCCCCCCCCCCCCCGTCCTTTCCTCCTCACCTCTAAACTGTGCCCTTGGAGGTGTCAGGTGAGAGAATCTGGAAGAATGTGGAATGCTTCCGTATCTAGACTTCTACAAGTCTAACTTTCGCAGAATAAGAACTGAGGACCTTGGGCTATCAAGATGGCTCAGTGAGGAAAGGTACTTGCCACCAAGCCTGACGACATGAGTTCTATCCCTGGGTCTCACATGGTGGCATGAGAAAACCAACCTAGCAGATTGTCCTCTCACCTCCACACATGCTGTGGTGAGAGTGTCCACACACACACACACACACACACACACACACACACACAGACACAAACACACCAGAAAAAGGTTTAAAAAGTGCTGAGAAGCTTGTTGAGTCCACAGGTACCCTCTGCTTCCTGGGAGGCCTTCATGACTTCAGCACATTGTCTGGCAGTGGGATCTGCTCTGATTCTTCAAGGGAGAGAATAGCTTACTCTGAGGGACCATGTTCTATGAAAATGTGAGTGTTCAGCCACCCCAGTAGAGTTCTCTTTGTGGCCTGGAGCAGTGAAGTAGGGTCCTCAGCTGCCTGACCACTCTCTGAGCCTATGGTAGGGATATCCATATGGCTTGCACCCTGGCCTGGACCCTGAAGTCAGTTCAGGGATATTGGGAGGTGACAGGCATTGCTATGGGGCACTCCAAAGCCACCGTCCTGGTGAAACAAATGATACTGAAAGTTACTCACGATTCAGTGTCTCAGAAGACTGGAGTTTCTACATGGAGTCACCATGGTTTTTATATAGGGCAGACAGCAATTGTTACTCCCTGGGACCAGCACAATAGCAGTGGGGCCCGTTGTCCCTGCTGCAAACAGATAACCAAGTAAAAGACAAGCATGACCAGGATCCAACCAAATTTTCTAGAGGCAGGTGAGGGCCCCAGTCCCCCACATGGCAGCCATCATTTTCTGTTTTTTTGTTTTTGTTTTTGTTTTTTTTTTTTTTGTGTGTGTGTGTGTTTGTGTTTGTGTGTGTGTGTGTGTTTCGAGACAGGGTTTCTCTGTGGCTTTGGAAGCTATCCTGGAACTAGCTCTTGTAGACCAGGCTGGCCTCGAACTCACAGAGATCCGCCTGCTTCTGCCTTCCAAGTGCTGGGATTAAAGGCATGTGCCACCAACGCCTGGCTCGGCAGCCATCATTTTCTATGGTGACCTAGCACACACTAACCTCAACTCCAGTAGAAAGCTGCAGAGAGAAGTGGGATTTTAGGGGAAAATGGAGTAAACAAAACAGGAGCTAGAGAGATGGCGCAGGGGTCAAAAGCACTGGCTGCTCCTTCAGACAACCTGGGTTGAGTTCCCAGCACTCCCATGGTGGTTCACAACCATCTACAATCCCAGTTCCAGGGGATCTGGTGCCCTCTTCTTACCCCCAGAGCACCATCATACATGAGGTGCATACATATATGTGCAGGGCAAAACACTTGTGCACATAAAATAAGATAAATTAATATTTTAAGAAAATGAGCTGAGTGATGGTGGCACACACCTTTAATCTTGGCATTTGGGAGGCAGAGGCAGGTGGATCTCTGTGAATTCAAGGCCACCCTGGTCTACAAAGCTACACAGAGAAACCCTGTCTCAAGAAGAAAAAAAAAAAAAAAAAGATAAAATAGGGGTTGTTGAGCAGACATACTTCTTAGAATAGATGGTTGGTTTGAAGCCAAGCAACCATGGTTACTCAGCCCTTACCACTGCCTGAGGTGGGGAAGGGCTGTCATTGTTGCCACCCATGCTGACCTAAGGCCTCTGCAGGCATTCCCAGTCAGAGGGCTGTCTGTAGACTCTGCTAGGGTGAGGCCCTGGGGAAAGAGGATTTTCTCTCATCCATGCTTTCCCCCTAAATGCCCTAGGACTGACACATAAGAGCCCAGAAGCTTCCTCCCTGCCCTCAGGGTCTCAAGGGGTATCTCTGATCTCAGGCTTTGCTTGGAGGGAGGGGAGGGAGACATACAAAGATTGGCTGCCATCTCATTTCCCTGGGATTTAGCTCCTTCCTTCTTGAAGCCACAGGCTAACATGTTTTAGTAAAACTAGAGTTTTAGTGAATCATAGTTTGACAAAGTAAAACAACACAGACTAATCAAGTCCTCCAGGGGTACAGGCTTACAAGTCCCAGATGATGCCTCCTCCTTCTGCAGAATCACACACACACACAGAGAACACACATTCTAGAAATACAGACACACAAGAAGAAATAGTGGATGCAAAAATACGAGTTGCAGCAACATGGCTCAGAAGATAAAGATGTTTGCTGCCCAGCCTGACCGCCTGCCAATGCCCAGATCCACATGGTAGAAAGACAGAATTTGACTCCTGCAAGTTGTCCTCTGATTGCCACATGCATGCTGTGGCACTCCCTCGCACAACAAAATAAGTGAATAAATAAATAACTTTTTCAGAGTTGAAAGTGAATAACAGAATCATTTGCCATATAAAACTAAAAAAAAATCGTAAAAAAAAAAAAAAAAAAAAAAAAAAAAAAAAAAAAAAAAAAGGTTGCCGGGCGTTGGTGGCGCATGCTTTTAATCCCAGCACTCGAGAGGCAAAGACAGGTGGATTTCTGTGAGTTCGAGGCCAGCCTGGTCTCCAGAGCGAGTGCCAGGACAGCCTCCAAAGCTACAGAGAGAAACCCTGTCTCGAAAAACCAAAAAAAAAAAAAAAAAAAAAAAAAAAAAAAAATGGTTGCAGTAAGGGGCACTTATAGTTCTAGCTACATGGGAAGCTGAGGCAGGAGGATGGGTAGAGCCCAGGAGCCAAAGACCAACCTAAGCAATGTCTTAAATACAATTCAGTAGGGCTGGGCCTTTGCAGAACGTTTGCTTAGCATGGACAAAGTCCATCCCCAGCACCATAGAAACTGGGTGTGGTGACACACTTTGCAATCCCAGCACCAGGGAGGCAGAAGCAGGAGAATCAGAGGTTCAAGGTCATGCTCCACTACATGGAGAGTTTGAGGTCAGTTTATGGAGAGTAGACATGGCCAACAAATAAATTAATAGCATTTAAAGATCTTAAACTGCAAAATAAAATGGTGAGTGACAGATGTGGTGGAGACTGTCAGAAAAGATAAGAACAATGTTATATGTTTTATAAGTGATAGCAAAGCAATAGACAGAACATAACAGCATCATTGTCTTGGCCTCTGGTGTAACACAGGTGTGCCCCACCATGCCCGGCTCAGAAATCCCCCTTTCTCTTAGATTAGGCAGACTTTTCAAATCTGACAACTTGTGATGATTGGCAGGCCCAGTGGCTCCTGCCTATAATCTTGGCATATGCAAGCCTGAGACAGGAAGATTACTGAAAATTCCAGGCAAGTTACCCTACATTGAGAGACCTTGTCTCAAAACCAAAAAGCCAGAAACAAAGCAACAGTAACAAAAACCCACAATTGATACATTTTTTAAATGTTTGTTTTTATTAATTATGTCTCCTAATTCAGAGTCTTTATCTGGTCTGGAAACCTAGCCTAGTCTCTTCTTTCACCAAGATACTCCAGTCCTGGGTCTTATAGTCCCTTTAAACCACCAGAAGGGGACCCAGGAATCCCTTCGGGGGTGTGCCCTTCCCAGTTCCAAAGAGACCTTCTGTGGGCTGAGAGGCCCCAGGAGCTGCATGCAGCCTCTCTGGACCAACTGGTGAAGGAGATCTCACTGGGTGGGATTCCAGAAATGTGAGGAGCTTTCTGGAAGAAGCACTCCAGTGCCGGTAAGAATGGAAGAGAGGAGATCCAGACTGAAGCCAGAATAGCTCACAAAAGGCTTTGATTCCAGCTCAAGTTTGTATTTTCATTTTATACTCTAAAAGCACAAGATAGGCCAGACATGCAAGCAAGATTTTACAGAATCAGCAGCAGGTTATTAAGGGCAACGGCCCATTGTCTCAGCCATTTCTCTGTGTTCTTCAGTTATTTAGACATATTCCTCCTGCATGACTCAGCCATCTTCATACTAGCTGGGGAAACACTGCTGTTTACTTAGCCAGTATGCAGCCACTTAGAGTGGCTGGATCTGTCCTCTCCACGAGCGCAAGTGCACTTCCTCTGGCAAATGGATGAACTGTAGCAATCTTGTCAAGTCACTATGATTCAGCAACAAAACTGTCCCATCCACACACACCATCCATTTGCCCAGTGAAACTCACCCACCTCTAGCCCCTGGCAATCCTTCACCTGTTTCCTCCTGTGAGTTCCAGATTTTTCTGTGTCACAGGCATGAGAATGTGGTTTGTGGAACTGGAGTTTGCCTCTTCCCTGGGATGTGGTTCTTTTCTGCTGGAGAGGATGCAGGAATTCCTTCCACACATTTGGGAGAAACAGAGAATTCTCTGCCTCTCCCCCCCCCGCCACAACATCTTAGGAAGTTATTTTAGACAGTGCCTCAGTATATAGATCAGATTTCCTTTGAAGTCCCAATCCTCCTGCCTCAGCTTCCAGAGTACAGAGATTCTAGACATGCACCATCATGCTCAGCTCAGCTCAATTTTCTTTGTGCATTTGTTCGTGGTATCCGTGTGTGTGTGTGTGTGTGTGTGTGTGTGTGTGTGTGTGTGTGTGTATGAATGCATGTGCACATGTATGTAGAGGTCTAAAATTGACACCAGGCACATCATCCTCACATGCTCTCTCTCTCTCTCTCTCTCTATATATATATATATATATATATATATATATATATATGCAGAGTCCCCTGATAAACTAAAGTTCACCAATTCCAGTTATTCTAACTAGCTGGGAATCCTGTCTGTCTCTCAGGCAATAGGATTACAGGTCACAAATCTACACATAACTATACATAAAGTCACCTAGCTCTCAGGTCAGAGGCTCTGAACAAGGCAGTAGCCCAAAGCATGCAGGGTGTGTGACAGTCCAGGGATCACTTCTCTTCATTCATACCCACAAGCCCCTTTGAGGCCAGAACCAAGAGGTTCAGTGATATACCTGTAATCCTAGCACTTGCAAGGCTGAGGCAGAGGAGTTGCTACAAGTTCCAGGCTCATGTACACGATCTAAATAGTGAGTTCTAGGCCAGTCAGGACTACACAGCAAGACCCTGTCTCAAAATAATTTTAAAATGGGCCAGATGTTGTGAATTACCTTTAATTCCAGCACTTGGGAGGCAGATCTTTGTGAGTTTAAAGCCAGCCAGGGCCACATGGAACAACCCTATCTCAAAAGATAAAGCAGAAAGTTAAAAGGGCAGAAAAAGAAGAGGTGTGTCAGGATGGGAAGGGTGGGAATAAATTTGCAGATAATATGATTGATTTTTTTTGGGGGGGAGTAGTTCAAGACGTGGTTTCCCTGTGTAGCCCTGGCTGTCCTGGAACTCACTGTGTAGACCAGGCTGCCCTCAAACTCAGAGATATGTCTGCTTCTGCCTTCTTAGTGCTGGGATTAAAGGCGTGTGCCACCACATGCTGCTGGATAATATTATTTTTTAAAAAAATATTTATTTACTTTTATGCATATTTGTATTTTGCCCTATATAGGCTTGTGCATCACATAATGCAGTACCCATAGGAACCAGAAGGTCCTGAAACTGGAGTTACATACAGTTGTGAGTTGCCACAGGAGTGCTGAGAACAGAACCTAGGCTATTTGTTAGTTGTTTCAAAACAGGGTTTCTCTGTGTAGCCCTAGCTGTCCTTGAACTCAGTATGTAGACCAGGTTGGCCTCAAACTCAGAGATCATCCTGCCTCAGTATCCTGAGTGCTAGGATTAAAGATGTACACCACCATACCCAGCTAGAACCCAGTTTCTATCTACCCAGGCTTCTGGATGCCTCCAGGAGGATTTGT